AAAAGATTCCTATTTTAAAGTTGAAAGTCACCCTAAAATCATCTAATTCAACTTCCATTTACCAATAAAAAAAGTGAAGCCTTGAAAAGTTGTACAGAAATGAATTGTCTTAGGAATCAGGGAACTGAACTGCTTCCCTACAAACCTACTCAATGTAACAAACTATTCTTACCTCACTCTCTATCCTGGATTTCAGCAGATCAATATCATCAGACAGCTTATCCACTTGGGCAACCAGGTCCTGTGCACTTTGCATGCTAGGCAGGAATTCACTATACTTCTTGCTGATCATACTGCACACCTCACCCTGTAAGGCAGAAAAACATCAAAGAGATGAGTAGGGAACTCTGTTAAAAATATACATCTTCTATGTTGGAACCTTCTTGCCAGTTACCACACCCATTCACTTTCCCTCCAAGACAATGAGTTTCTTTGAAAAACACATTTCTCCTACTGTTAAAGGTCCCATAACATTATTAGGGTACAAAAAAATAATGATCAACAAATCCCAACAGTGCCCAAGAGTTATACAAATGCTGAAAAAGAGAAAGGCAGCACCAGATGTTCTCACGTTGAACTACTATAAACTCAGATTATAGCCACCAAATTAAAGCATGTATCTAATTGAAAACAAGTGGGTAAATTAAATCTATAATCCATTTGCTTCACTCAACTTATGAATTTCTATCTTCTTGCTTATAAAACTTAAGGCCTAATTTTATAACCCTAAATTGATGAGCTCCATCTCTTTTAATCTAAAATAATTTAATAAACAAGTTACTGAATGCTTTTCACTGAATTAGTCGATGCTTTGGAAGATACAAGAATAAATTATGCTTGCCCAGAAATAAGTGCCTTTTATGCAGGGAAGATAGTATACACTTAAGAAACCAGAATACAGAAATGTAATAGAACAACAGAATTAATGTCCTCCAGGAGAACTGAGAAAGACATCACCTCGGCCTGAGGGAAAATGGGGATATTTCTCATTCAGGAAACATGTGAGATGGAACACTTGAAAAATAGGTAAAAATACTACAGGTAAAGTATGGAGAAATGGCAACACAAGCAAAATCTGAGAACCAGGAAAATACAACTGGGCCTGCTTGGAGTACAGAAAGTAATTATCAATTGACTGAAGATTCAAGTTGGGAAAAGAAACCCATGAGAAAGGGTAAGTCAGGTCCCGAACACACAGAAAGGAGCCGCGCTACAGCAGATTAGTATCGACTCCTCGTTCCATCATATAAAAGTGATGTAAAATTCTAAAGCCATGTTAAAGAAAAAATGCCAATGACTTTAATACCTAAACTTTCAGAAACTATTTTTGTAAAATAAAACCATTTTTGTGCCTTTATGACACAATGTCAAACTTGCTCTCTTAAATCCAGATGTATGCGGTACACCATTTTGTAAATGGAAGCAACAAAGAAGTGGGCAAATACTGGCAAGGTAATAACAGCAGTACAAAGTGGAACTGTGTGTGGCTATGTGACTTTTGTTTCTGTATCAATCTCAAAACAGGGTCCACAGAAGTGCCATTTGCATGCTTTCAACACTCAGCACAGCCTCAAGGGCCTAGGGAATACAGAAAAGAGTTCAACAGATCTACTGATAGGTTTCAACAAGAGAAGTTTCGCGGAGAATGGTTTCAAAGCTATTATACTCATCCACAAATTGTACAAGAGGAGTGGGCGGAGGAAATAAACCTTCACGGATGGGGAGGAGTCCTGTCCTCATTTCAGTCCCTCTAAAGTCCTCCCTCCCTGGGCACCTTCCCACCCCAGCTCCCAGCTCCGCAGGTCTCCTCAGTCTCTCTCCTCTTCCCCCAGCCACCACCTCTTCCTTTCCCCCGTCCCAGGCCTTCTAGGTCCCCAAACCTTGTCTGGGCTCCCCTCCGAGCTCCCTCTCCCTCCTCAGCCTACAGACTTCCAGCCTCCCTAAGCCTTATTCTCACACAGACCACACCTGACTGCTCGGACCCACTCGGTCGGTTCTTAGCGTCCTCTCCGCCCCCTCCCGTCACACAAGGATCCCGGGTCCCATTTTAGTCAGCCAAGGGCTGCCCCGCCTACACCTTGATCTCCTCCACCCGCCGGGTCAGGTGGCTAATCCGAGTTCCCAGATCCTCCTTCTCCAGGGTCCCCGAGTGTGCCAGAATTTCCGTCACGAATGAAGCCATCGCCACGACAGCAACCAAGGCTCAGAGGTTTACTCTCCCGGAGCCAGCGCGGCCGCTCCAATCCCGCCAGAGGCCTCGGCGCGCAGCCTGCCGGGAAACGAAGTCTCGCGGGATCCCGACTGCCACACGGATTAAGGACAGCTGCACTACAACTCCCAGCAGGCCCCGCCACTCTTCTAGCCTGCAATTTCCACGGCGTCTCGTAGTTGGCAAACTTGGTAAGCGCGTTTCTTCAGTCGCTGTTGACGATGTTTCTTCCCGACCAGTCCTAACTGAACTTTTCTCAATTCCAAAACGCTTACCTATGAAATTTATCTATCCAGAAGACCCAACAAGCCCATCTTGAACTTTTCTCGTTAAATATTCACTCTCATGGGCCGCAGTGACCATGAGAGTCTAAATGAATAATGTCCTCTAGAGTTGTGCAAAGAAGTGGCGTCACTTCCTTATAAATAAAAGTCTGCCTATACTTGCTGCTTTATATTGCATAGTTTATATTACATCTATATACATATATACATGTATACTACATCCTTGTACACATAACTATACACATATTACACATACATAACACACCACATGTTTATATTACCTAGGTACCAGTAACAGCATTGTATGGACTAGAACAAGATATTCAGCAATTTTTATCAGAATACAAACCAATTTTATAATAAGCTTTTAAAAAATTGTTTCATTATTTAAATGTTACATACCGAAAGATGTTCACAATGTACGTACAGTATAATTCCTTTTTTAAAAAATAGATATAAATACACATATAGAAGTAAAGGATGTATACCAAATTATTCTCTCTAATTTTCTGTTTTTCTGCAAAAAAAAGTACTGCTTTAATTAAAATGTTATTTTTAATTTTTTAAAATTTGTCTTTGATAGTTGACCCCAAGTATATGCTGATCCTAAGATCCTTGTCAATTTTAAGTGTCTGTGGGACAATCTGCTTATTCTAGTGAGGCAAGGGCAGCTTCCTGTGACACGAGCAAAGGAAACGAAGTGGAGGTTGAGGCGGGAGGTACAAAGAACAGCCATAACATTCTAAAAAGCTCCTCTCTATAGAAAACCAAATCAACTTCTATTTGGTAGACATGGCAGTCTCACTTTGAATTCCAAATACTATTAATAATAAATGCCCAGTTGAAACCATAGGGCAACAGAGTCTGGGGCTCAGGCTGCCTGTCACCACTCAGCAAAAAAACAGAGACAGGGATTGCTTTATAATTGTACTTTTATTAATATCAGGGGCCAGCAATCTGAGAAGGTGGTGGGTAAAAACCCTAACATCCACCTTCCCATTGAGCTTTCAGAAGCAAGTTTAAGTAGGGGAAATGTGTGAATTTGGAAAGGGAAATTCCTATGGGGAGCTCAGACATATCCTTACTCTTGGGAATAAGGGTAGGAGGAGCTGGAAGGGGAGTTCTGAAGCTTCTTCCCAAGCTAGATGGATCCCTTTTTTGCGCTGTTATTTCTCCATTTGCAGTAACATTCCTCTCTTCCCTGGAACCTGTGGTTTATGGCTTCTGAAGCTTTGTACACTCTGGTTAGGGAGAAGTATGAACCATTTGCTTTCAAGTGTCCTTGGTTAGGGGAAATAAGGTCTTACAATTCACCAGCTAGCTATAAATTGCTCAAACTGTTTGGCCTTGTTTAATTTTCTTGTCTGAGTTTCCTCATTCCACTTGCCCAGGAACTTTTGTAGCTTCTTACTTTCCTGTCTCACAGTGAGAAAGAAGGACCTGAAGACAAAGTTCCTGAAAACTTGCCTTACATATTTATTGAGCAACTGCTATATGGCAGACATTGTGCTAGGCTGGGAATCCAAATATGTGAATAAATAATCTCAGGAAAATATGATCATTACTACTTTGGAGGTAGATGAGAGATGGATCCATATTTTGTGGGATCTAAATCTTACAAAGTTGCTGGAAGGAGGAGGGCTGTTTAAGGAAGGGAATATAAAATAACAAATATTGTATAAAATAAGGGGCAGGCCTTGAAAGGGGCCTGTGCAACTAACAGGCCCTGAGGCTTAATCCACCTCTGAGAAAGGCACAAAGAGCAGGGGAGGAGCATCTGGTCTCTGATTAAATCAAGGAGGTTTCACAGCAGGAAGGAATCTGAACTGAGAATGGAAGAAGGTGTCACCATGAGGTTGAGGTTCTGGGAACTTCCCCTAGGAAACACATCCATGTGTACCCACAAACACAACTACAGAAGCTCCTCCTCTCTCTGGGCCACTGTGTAAACTGAGGGCCATTCCTCAGGGTTCCAGAAAAAGATAGGGAAGAGCCAGAGTTAGGCTAAGGCAAGAAAAGAAAGGACATCAGGGAGGGAATGAAAGTGCTACACAGACAGTCAATACATGCAAGTATGAATGAATAAGTGAATAAATTAAAAATTAATAGATGAATAGATTCTGTCTTCCCTCACTAACCTGACCTTCTTCATAATTCATACTTATCATGGTTTATATGTTTCCCAACTCATGGATTCTCACAAATCATCAAGAAAGGGCTCTTGAAGAAAAGTCAAGGAAATAAGGAGAAATGTCTGAATGGGTTTCCCCTGACTTATCATGGCTCACACACATGAGGCCTGCCTGTTTTCAGGGAGAAAGTATCAAACACAAACCTGGATGGGTATATAGCACCAGCAGGCAGTGTTTCCAAGGATGTGCATTTTGCCATTGTGTTGATTAGAACCTGTCATTGTTATAAGAGCAGCAGAAGGATCCTACAGTTTGACAGAGTTTCCCATTTGCTTCAAAAGAGTATTAAGGGAGGGACAGGGAGTGGGCGCAGGCATGGATGAAGCCAGATTGGTATGAGTGGATAATTCCTGAAGTAGGTGATGGGACATGATATTTCTTCATGTGTTCTACTTTTGTATATGTTGAAATTTTCCTATGATAAAACATAAAAGAAAAAAGAGCATTCCAGGTAATTTTGCTTGCCTCCTTCCACCTTCCCATCGCTAATAATCTAATCAGACTGCTTAAGTGTTGAGGCATCGTGCAGATAAATCAGGATGCTGCTTTCTCCTTGCTAACAGTCCCACCCCTTTGCCTTCACTTCCTAGTGTACCACGCGGTAATCAGTAGATTAAATATGACTAGGGGAATACATTGGTCAACATTTATGTCTTTAATATAATAAATCCCAATTTTCTTCTGTGTTTTTCCATAAAGATTAACCTCACCTGGTGTCACCTGGTGACACAGCATGCTGCAGGTGCAGTGCAGGAAGAATCACTGCTGCAGCCTGGGGACAACATGAAATGTCACGGTCCCAGCCACCTGGCTCAGGAGTTGGGTCTGTTGCTTACTTGTTGGGGAACCTTGTCAAATTACCTAACATGGATCTCTCAGTAATGATGTGAAAATTAAATAAAGGTAAAATATCTAACCAAAGTCTGGGATTTAGCCACACTCAGTAAATGCAAATTATTTCTTTTCCTGTCAAACCTGCCTCTTGGCAGCAGCAACAAGTAGGGGTGGAAGCTGGTATGACTGCTGCCTATTTGCAGGTGCTGTCCTAGCAGCAACAGGAGGCTGGGGAGGGAGCACTTCCCTTCTGGTACATTCTGGGTCTGGATGGGTGTCTTGGCTTGGAGAATTTTTTTATTTTTTCTGCTTATAAAAATACTAAGTGGTAAATTTATAAAGTAGACAAGCACAAATAAGGAAATAAAAACTACATATAATTCTTTCACTAAAATAAGCATGGTTAACATTTTGTAATATGTGATATAGAGAGATATAAATACAGATATTCACATGTGTGGTATATTATATATAGAAATATAGATATCCATGTAAATATGCATATATATGCACTACTTACGAAAGTGAAATTGTATTCTATATACTGTTTGGTCACCTGCTATTCTCCATTAACAACATATTAAAAATATTCTTCATGTCATTAAACTTTCTTATATCACGTTAAAATTGCTGCCTAGAATTAAACAAAATGTACATTTATTAACAATATTTCAGTGGACATTTTCATAAATATTTGTATATTTTCACAGTACATTAGGGTAAGTTCCTGGAGGTAGCATACTGGGTCAAAGTATGCACGTATTTGAGAGTATGAACCATGAAGTTACTCTCCAAAGTGAGTACATTAATGGATAGTCCCAGAACTTCATACTTGTCATCTTAAAACCTGAGATTTATGAATTTTCTCGTTAAATATTTATCGATGTCTCATTGTCTGGCTTTTGCCTCTCATGGGACCCTCCCCCAGAATCCACACCCACATCTAATCTTGAGCACTGCCCCTAAATTCAAACATTGCAGAGCTCCTGGCACCTGCTTCAGCTGCTGCCTAAGGAACTGAAACAAAAACCCTCTCCAAATGTGAAAGACCTTCTGCTCAGGCCTCCCAAAAGTCCTCCCCACTAACCAGTCACTGAGACACCTCTTTTTCTTTCTGCCTCCGTGGTGGGAGCAGCCACGCCTGTGCTGTCTGTGGGAAAGCCCAGCCCGGGGGACGGCTCCTCTCTCTCCTCAGCTGGATCTACTCCTGTGTCACCACCACTCTGCCTCAGCGGAAGACTCTCAGCCTGGATCTGAATGAAACTGAGACCTGGATCATGGGCCTTTGGGAGGTCTGCATGAATCAGGAGGAAGTTGCCACTGTGTGCCAGGCTTTTGAGTCCTTCTTATCTCTGCCGCAGGAGCTCCAGGCATCCCGCATCCTCATGGTGGTCTCCCATGGGCTGGGATTATTGGGGCTTCTGCTCTCGGGCTTTGGATCCGAATGCTACCAGTTTCACAGGATCAAATGGGAATTTAAGAGGCAGCTTTGCATCCTCGGAGGAACTTTGGAGGCATCAGCTTCAGCCAAGACCCTCTTTTCAGTCTCCTGGGTGGCCTATGCCACAATTCAAGACTTCTAGGATGACAGCATCTCTGAGATTGTGCCTCGGTGGGAGTTTGGAGATGCCCTCTGCTTGGGCTGGGCCACCGGTATTTTCCTGGCTCTTGCTGGGTTACTCCTCATCTGCTTGACCTGCAGGGGAAAAGAAGTGCCCTTTTCCCCAGGTGGCTGGTCCTACAGCGCACCACACTGTGCTCCAATTGAGGAGTCTGATGGGTCCTTCCATCTAATACCAAGATCTAGGAACCTGTTCATGTAGGACTAGTACTGTCTGCCAAGGAATCTCGAATAAAAGAATGTCAGTAGAATCCTTTCCCTTCCTTACCCTTCCTCACTCTGGATTTGCATGCCTCATTTTGGGGGTGGTGGTAACTGCCTTGTTTGTCAACAGTTTGACTATCTTTGTGATACAATGTTCCTAATTTCAGAATGAAAAATCAAGTCACAGTTTCTAACAAACACGTTTCTCTGATTTAGACCTTATTTATATAAAATGCTTTTAAACTCATAACATTAATGATATACTTGATTCTTTGTTACTAAGAAAAACACATGATAAAATTGTACCCCTCATAGAAAAATCAAGTGTGAATAGTCAGAGTATATATAGCTAGAAAAGCTGAAGAATATGCCTTGGCAAATGAAAATGAACTATTGACCTAACATAGTACATTAGGCTAGGAAGCCTCCTTGTGTCTATTTTCAGCATTAGGAGAACAATTTAATGGGGAGTTTCACAATATATATTTGGTGTTTTGTAGATACTTATTATCCCAAAGACATACTCTTATTTCTGCTTTGTTATGAGACCATGAGCGGTCTTCTCTGCCTTTCCAGCATGCAGGTAAGAAAAAGAGTGTGTGAGTGTGGTAGGGTGACCGGCCATCCTGGTTTGCCCAGAACAGGGCTCTTTTAGTGGGAAAACTGGGAAAGTCCCAGGTAAACCAAGACCAGCTGGTTACCCCACAGTGGCTATGCCCAAAAACTGCCTTCAGAAATATGTTTTACCATAAATAAAATCATGTTATAAATCCTTAACTTTCAACCTAAATAAATGTTAGCAGGCCTAACCAGGCTGTGGCTATAAATTAAGTTCCTCTCACAGCAATGACCAGAGTTCTTTGCTTGTGCCACCTGCACAGTCCGGCCCTGTGCCCTGACTTCCCCCACAGGTTTTCCTCAAGGAGAAGCGTCATGCTTGTGCACAAACCCGTCTGTCAGCAGAGAACACCCTGTGCCATCCCCACTGCTCCTCTGACTCCACTAACTGGATGAAAAAGAGTCACCATCGACCCTGTCGGCAATCCCACAACTAATAGGGGAGGAAAACTAAGGGTGATGACTCCCAATGTCCCCGAATAGGTGACTTTTCCCAGTTTGGATGCCTGCTGGATTGCTTGCAAAACTGAGACTCCTCCCTCCCTCCCTGGATGCTGCCCCTTGCCAGTTCAGCTCGGAATCCCCCACTGCCTGTGCTCAGACATGTCCAGCTTCTCTATAAAACAGCTCTGACATAGCCCTGGCAAGATGGCCGCTGCTGAAGCAAACACACACACACACACATACACACACACACACCCCCTCCCCCCAACACAAGAATAAACACTTTTGCCAGCATAGTCCAGGCCAAGTCCTCCTTAAAAAATTAACCTTTCTACTTGCTCTGAGAAAACAAGTTTGCGAGATGCAACTCCATCTTCAGCAACTTTTACCTTTTTGCCCAGAGTAGGAGTCACGGTTTTTCCAGAGAGCTCCTTTCCCTTTTAAGTATGACCTTTTGTGTATGTCCACTTGCCATACACAAATCCACATGACTTTTAGGTAAATAAATTTCTGAGTATAAAGGGCAGTTAGCATCAAAGTTGTATTCTGGCCTTCTCTGTTTCCAATGCTTATTTTATCATCTACCTCTACTCAATAAAGTTTCAAAGCTCTTTGGGCCAAGTCTGAATCTGGGGTAAGGTTCATATACCCAAGTTATCCTTGGATCCAAGAAGGACCAAGTTCATCATTCATCCATCTGATCATTTATTCACACATTTAGCAAAATTTTTTTAGCACCTAACATGCCAGGCATTATGCTAGAAACGAGGAATAGACAGTGAGACAAAATTTATTCCTGCCCCTCAGATAGGCAAATAGAGGAGACCAATAGTGATGCGAAATCACTTAAATAAATGGAAATTGTAACCGTGACACATGTTACAAATTTGGAAAGGTACATGGTTCTATAAAATCATACAATAGGAAAATTTTAACCTTGTCAAGGAGTCATGAATGGGTACCCTAAGGAGGTGATAATTGGCTAAAATATAAGGGATGGATAACAATTTTAGATAGAAAAAAATGTATAAGACCAAGCTGCTGAGCTAGGAAGGACCCAGATGTTGCAGGGCCTGTAGGTCAGATTGAAGAGGTGGTTTCTATTGTCAGAACCACAGGAAGCCAAGCATGTGGCCAGGTAGTAGGAGCTCAGCTCCTAGCTGACAGCAGCAGTAACCCGCTCCCCTTCACTAACACCTTGTCCTTGTGCAGTTTCCCTGTCACACATGTGGGTAGGGTTTAATAGTTTGCAAAGAACTTTTACATATTTTTATTCACATAGATTTATTTAACACATCTTGAGGTTTATTTGTTTTTTGAGGTTGGGAGAACAGATTTTTCTTCTAACAAGAAAAATGATATTCAAAGAATTTAGGCAACATGCCTGTGGCAGGTAATTAGCCGGTATAACCTTGAACCCCATGTTTTGAGGCCATGGCAGTCTCTCGTCACCCCATCCTGTTGCTTCATGGGGATGAAGCATCGTCAAGACAATCCACTAAACCATGGGAAAAACTAGCACCAAGCAGAAAGAAAAGCAGAAAGAAAAACCAAAGATCTACAAAGAAAAATGCTGTCCTTTGTGCCTTTGTCGAGGTTTAAACAGGGTCTTTGTTGCTAGGTGGTTCACCTGGGCCTGCTGGTGGCTTGCAGCCCTCACCCTAATCCCATATTTGCAAGTGCTGATATTTTTCATCAGCATGTGATTATGCCTTCCCCTGGGGAAAAAACCCACAAACTTAAGATTTAAGAAAATAGTCTGTCTGCCTAACTCTCCTTATAAAAGAGACAAAGGCATTTTTTAAAAAATAGGGGTGGAGCAGGAACTGTTAATTGATTCCCAAGTGGCCAACAGTATGTCATTCTCCAGAAAGGAATATGATTTGCATTCTGGCCAGAAGCCACTTTTAGAGAGAGTCTAAAGAAAAAAATGCTTTTCATCTAAAATGACCACTGTTTTTATCTACCGACTTCGTAGGGGAAATAATGAGGCATAAAAATAGAAATAATTAAGTTTTATCTCCAACTCAGCCTTTTCTCATCTATTTGTGGCAAATTATTTTAACAGTGAAAACATTTCTTTATTGTGGTTACACATGGAGAAGCCTGTTGCCATATGTATTAGAAACAGAGAAGAACATCAATCAAAATTTCAAGACAAAAGTTTTTCTTGTGTGCAAGGCATTGGAAGAAAATAACTCAAGGGCTCATCAGTTTTGATGCAGTTAGAATTTGTAATGTTTGGTGCTATCTCTTCTAACAGTCTACCTCTTGAGTCTGAAAATGTCACCATTGGCAGATAAGGCATTCCAGGAAGTCCTTAATAAAATACTCATCATTTACCCTTCTGAGCCTCTGACACTAGCTCTCAGGGAAAAAGTCCCCAGTGTGGTCTAGACACATTTTGGGATGGGAGGGAAGTCAGAGATGGTTTAATGGCCTTCCGGACAGCAGAAGTGTCTTAGCAGCCAGGGTGAGGACAATAGGAAATGAGGAGCTGGGAGAATGTTTGCAGTCACTGGCCTCTGATACGGAACTGGAAGCAACTGAGTTCACTTTCCACTCTACTAGATGATGGATCATTTTTTTAAGCCAGTCATTCTTTTTACCACCTCATCCACATTTATACGATGTGGAATAGACTATTTTACTGCCAAGAATTTTGAATACAGCCTCTAAGCCAAGTCCCATGGGTGATATATGCCCCAGGAGCTGCTAAGAAGTAGGCAAACAGGTCGACCTTCACACCAATAGCATCCAGGAGAGAAACACAGAGATTGATTAGGGAGGATTCCAAAAAGGGAACTCATAACAGTTGGAAGTAGCATGATGTTCCCTACCCTTCCCTGTGAGGAAAGGAGGGGGAGATGGACCTCAAGAGAACGGCTCAGAAATGGGAGTTATTCCCAGAAGAGAAGACCACCATCTGAAACACACGCACCTCACCTCTGCTGAGCTGCAGAAACTCCTGGTCTAGTCCTGCTGCCATCAAGACAATATCCAAGAAGGTTCTTGAAAAAAATCAGAGGTGAGTGCCTGACCATGCCTGGAGGAACCTGTAGCAGGGGGAGGGCTGGAGCAGGGCACGGCAGCAACATCTGCACTTCTATCTTTTACTGGGCACGGGTGGTGAACTTGCCCAAATGGATGCTGAGGAAAGCAGCTTAGGTGACATTGCCCCAGGACACTGCCCCGAGATGTGAATGACTAGGGCAGGAGCTGAGAAGGACTCTAGGAGGTCAACCAGGAAGTCCAAAAGCCACATCAGGGACAATGTAGAGGTTTTCTATAAGGTTCTCTGAAGAACCCATAAAATGCCCCACAAAAGGCCTAGCAATTGGATTCTTGCCATAACAAAAGATGTTTGAGAACTGAGAGAGTATATTAAGTCCTCACTTAAGTCGTCTATAGGTTCTTGGACCTGCAGAGAAGCAATGTATAATGAAACCAATTTTTACCATAGGTAAACTGATATAAACAAGAGTTGAGTTCCTACTGCATCTCATCAACATTACAACAAAATGACTTTATTCAAGGGTCTACTGTATTACAAACAAAACTGTTTCTTTAAAAAATTAAGGAAGTCGTTTGCCTTCTTTTCCAGTAAACCCTCCTCCCCCAGGCTTTAGGGCAGCCAGAAGGGGTGGGAGATCAAGGGAATGAAGCAAGGAGAGTGCAAGAATATCCAACGGCTCCTTCCTTATGCTGGTCCCTGAACCTCAGGCAGAGGCCTGACCAAGGTGAGGGGAGAAATGCTGAAACAAATGAATGAGAGTTAAATTTGTTTTAGTTTATTTATTTATTCACTTACAGTTGACATTCAATATTATTTCAATTTCAGGTATACAGCATAGTGGTTAGACATTTATTAAATATATAATTTACCAAGTGATCCCCCTGATAAGTC